TGCTCCTCAGTCTTTATGTTATAATCTGTAATAAATTATTTATTCTGCAATAATAAAATAACTGAGCATGCATGATTTTACGTGCGATAGTAGCGACAGCATATTGGATAGTCATTAGTTAATGGACAAATATGAATGCAGGATAAGGTATACAGGGAGTTCACTGCAAAAAGGCATTAATGTTCCATTACTTTTATAGTGGGGACAGTTTTTGCTAGCTAAGTTCCTGTAAAACATACCTTTGAGTTTACAGGGATATTAGCAAATGGATTTATCACATGGTTATGGACAAAGCTTGTCTCCAACTTTTGTAAAACATGCTGAAAATTACCATGAAGGCTCAGAAGTTTTGTTTGTTATGATTTAATTCCCTTATTTTTTAAAAAATAGAAAGGGGTGTGAGGGGGCGGTACTTTAAATGGCTGATTGGTTTGGAAGTAGCTCAGAGAGAGATTTTCTCCTAGCGTTTTAGAATTCTGTTATTCTTGACTATAAACAAACACTACAGATGATTAGTTCGGGAGGGAACAAGACCTGTTCAGCTGTTTATAAACTGAAAAGATATTTGGCTTCATTTTGACTTACATTTCAGCCAAAAATGGCTGGTTTCCATGATTCCTGTTTTATCTTTGCATGTTTATAAGGCATCTACTAAAACTTAGGTGACCAACACTTACAGCATGGTGGGAAACCTAGGAAGTTAAGCACCTTGAAGCATAATTCATGTTCTCCCCAGAAGGAGGAATTCAGAGTCCAAAGTTACAGCTGTTACATGAGGTGCATACACTCTTTATTTCTCAAAACAAGGTGGACACAAGCAGGCACAGGTTATGCTTCAGATGACATTATGTTCTTATCTCACCATTTGCTTTTCTTATTGTTTTTTCCTCATCAAAATTCTTCCTGCTTCCAACCCCTGTACAGACAGCCAGTGCTGCAATCAATGCCCAGTGCAAGTACAAAGCATAGTTGCAGTCAGAAGTCACCTCAGAAGATCACCTTGTTTAACCTCCTGCTCCAACCAGGACTAAATGCAGTATCAGGGAGGGTGCTGGGAGTCTTGTTTAGGCAAAGTGTGGAAATCTACAGCAGCAGGGACTGACTCCAGCCAGTTGCTATGCCCTGCCATGGTCCTCCTGCGGTAGCCTTTCTTTTTTTAGGTCTCATGGAAATTTCTCTCATTGAAACTTGCAACTGTTGCCCTCCATCTTCATACTACAAAGCAGGGCAGACTCTGCATCCTCTGTAACTGCCCTGTAAGTAGCTAAAGACTGCAATTAGATCCAGTTAGCTGTCTCTGCCCAGGCTAAATAAACCAAGTTCTCCTGCTCTCTGCTTCTCAGGATACTCTCTCCCTTCAGCCTAGGGAAGATGTCCCTAATGGCATCTGTCCTCTGCACAACCAACCCATCTTCCTCTGCTGCAGTGTCATAAGTCATTGCAGGCTCAGTGCAGAACAGTGTGCAGTTTTGGGGTGCTTGTTTGCTTGGAGATATTCAACAGTCCAAATAGATTTCACCCGAAACTGCCCAAGATTTTGGTTGGGTGCAGAAATTTTGTATTCTCATAACACAGATCTTTCTAAGTCCTCTGGGGATTGTTTGGGCAATCCCAAATATCTGACCCTGAGCCAACCAGTTACTTATTATATCTAATGTTTGTCCTATTTGATAATTACTCTGCACAAGAGACACATGCCAATGCAGATGTGGTGCCGAAATTCAGCGATCGGTGCTACACGGGGAAGCAACAGACTCATACCCTTCCTATATCCAGCTCCATCAGATCTGTGCTCCTTTAAGTCCTCTTGCTGGATCATTGCATCTTTAAAATAAGTCCCCCAAGATAAAGAACTATACACTGGGGGGGAGGGGAGGACAGGAAAGGAGGTGTTAAAGTTGCAGCTGGCTCTGCTATCAGTCAAGAACTTGCCCCAGATGAGACCAGGTGAGACCAAATTTTAAAACTCTGGAATGTAACATATGCAGTTGCCAGAGTATTGTTGCCTGTTTTATCATTTGCTACTCTTCACACTTTGTGGGCATTTTCCCAGAGAAACAAACCAGAAGTAACAGAACAACTTAGAAGAGACACTGGACATCAAACAGAAAATAAAATGTACAAAGGTTAATCATCTTTCAGCGTACAGCAAGTGAGAAACTTATTCTTTTTCAAGACCTTTCCTGAATAACAGAAAAAGTATTTCTCAGCAAAAACAATTACCGATTTGAAAGAGAAGCATTTTCTCTTAAAACAATTCCTAATTTCCCTTGAAAAAATTGTTATCAAAACCCCAAATTTTAACAATTATTCAGCCTTGTTGGAAACTTTCCAATCAGCCACATTTCACATTTCTAAGTAGACCTTTATAAATCCATGCTTTTCCAACTAACTTTTTTTCCCTATAGTATTTATTTATTTTTGCGTTTTTTTATAAATGTTGCTGGTAAGGTTTTATACTTTTCCTGAAGTATGTACTGCAGTTCTTTTATAGAGCACTACAAAGTCTTTTCAAAATAGTTTAAAACTAAATGAAAAAAAAAACCCTGGCTAAATTCATTACTAAAGGGGAATCTGCTATATATTGTTTGTTCATTCAACATATTAGAATATCTACTGAATTGCAATAGCTGCATCAGGTTTTGCTCTGAATGGAAAAAGTTTCATACTGCACAAGATCAGCAAGTAAAAAGCCAAACTAAACATTTAGAGATGCACAGCAATGTCCCCCTTCAGCTGTTATTTGAATTTTTGCCCCAAATTCACTTTTCTCATTCTGAAGGAAAAACTTGAAATGTGAAGTAGAGCTGAGGGGTGCTAATAGAGTGTTAATTTCAAAAAGAAAGAAATTGTCGTTCACATTTATATACTGATATCACCGCCTTAAGTCATCAACTTGAAATCTTATTCATGTGATAAATTCTTTCTAATATGATTGTTTAGGAATAAGAGAAGTTAATTTTGCTTGCAGTCTCAAATATGGCAACAGACACCCCCCCCATATGCAGATACAGATCCACACATACAGAGATTTCTGTAATAATCTGCACTTTGTGCAACACATTCTTCTTTCACATGAATGGCCACAGAAGATACTTATCAACACTGGATTTCAATAGCAAGGAATCTGGTGGTTCAGGCAATCTGTAAAATGAACCTTAATTTTTCAGCCAATCTTATTCCTACATGAATTTGCAAAAGAAATTCACTTATCCTAAGTATACCAGAAAACTAAAAAGTATTCAGGGCAATAAGAATTCCTGCAGTCCTCTGATGGTACAAGAGAAATACAGCTCCCATCCTTAGCTGCAGTGAAAGAAAAGTTCATTTTGACCTGGAAACCAAATGATAACAAAGAACACAATACTGGAACTTTTCTGACTTTTCATGGCCTTAAACTGAGGTCAAGGGAGAATTTGGTCCAGTACATTTTTTCTATTCTAGTTTGTAAGACTCTGTTTGGGAAAAACTAGCTCATGTTAAATCTGACATAAGATTATTGGTGCTGATGGGCTTTTCCAGTGTGGTAAAACATTCTACTGATATTATTTTTGACAGAGCTTATGACAACTAGTTGACATTTTTAAAAAATGTAATGAACTTTTATTATTACAATTATTGTTTTGTTGCTGCTAATGGGCACAGATTTATTGATCTGCAGAAAATAGTGCCCAACTGAAGCACATTGTCCGTATTTTTTACGGTCATGGAGCAGCACAAGAGTTGTAGATATCTGCAGTAAAACTCTCCATCTAGTTATTTACATGAATGCCTCTTGTATTCATACTAATAAAGAGCTTTAATATGTTTGACTAATGGTTGCAATTTGCAAAATATCCTGCAGTGCTCTTGAATGAAAGATATTATGTTAAAATAAAGAGTACCACAGAAATACAGCTTGTGCTGATCTGAGAGACTATAATTCTCACTCCCAGCTAGTAGTTTTTACCAAGACAATAGCTAGTTTTATTATAATGTGCAGAAATCTTTCAGTAAATTAAAACTTATATGTTTTCAATAGAGTTATTCATTTTAACACTGGAAGCTGATGCTACAAGGAAACATCAGGACATAAAATAAAGAATGGAAGTGAGGATGGAATAAACAGTGTTCTGTTAAGTAAATGATACTTTCCTGGCTCTGTCAGGATTCAAAAGACCTAAAAAGCAAAATGTGTGTCACGAGAACTGAAAAATAATTCATGCTATTTGACAATCAAGGCTTTAAAAATGTGTTTGGAGGAAGTGGAGAGGGAGGATAGCAAGCACTACAACACAGAAATTCCATGCCACATTTAAAAACAAACACAAGCACCCACGTAGGGAGGAAATCACACATTAATAGAGATCCAAGGTTCATCAGTCTCTGGGATCACTGTGGCTGAACAAGGAGTTTTTCAAGAGGGCACATTCCAAAGCTAGAGATGTTGAAAAATATGTGGGTGCTCAAAGGATTGAAAAGAGCATAGTTCCACGGATTTTATCCAGAGCCCATCAAGGCAGCACTCCCATTCACTGCAACAAGCTTTGGGTCATCCTTAACATCCAAAAGTAGTCCTCACTCATGAAAATTGGCTGGTCACATTGGAAAATGTTTGGGCAAGGTACCCCACCCATAAACAGTGTGTTCGGGGAGAGTATGGTAGTAAACAACGAATAACTTGTCTCTTTGCCAAGATTAGGGGTTGTGTGTCTTACTTGTTCACCCTCTGAGAGAATAAAAAGAGAACTACAGTAAGGTAATATCTCTGAAGCAATCTAAGAAGGAATGCCACACAAATGAGAAATAAGAGGATAAGGGTTCCTTCAATTTTGATGTTGAAAGAGGAAGAAATGACTAAGTGATGGGGTACAGAAAGCCACTAGCAGATGGATGCAGTGTTTCCAACTGCTCGTTGCTCTGATATCTTGTAAGTAGGAAGAAGAAGAGAAAGGAAATACAAACCTGAGTGTGGAAAGAGGGTTCCACTATGGGAATTGTGACATCATCTAGGTGGAAGACAAAGATACGGAAGTCCATTTGCAGGAGAAAGAGAGCATAAACACAGTTAAGTGGATATTAATGAACACTAAACAAGAATGGTAAGCCTGCTCTGAACTTACAAATCATATCCGCATTAATACCAAATGAGTTCATTAAGATTAACATTATTATGATGATTATCAAAGGGATTAAAAGAGATTATGGCAAATAAGAGAGTCAGATAGGAATGAGATGTAATTACCTTCCTATCTGGTTTATCTGTAGCTGCAGAGAAAGACCCAGCATTCACTTTACACTGGAGTAACCTAACTCATATTTTGATCTGAAGTGCAATTTTCAGCAAAGCTGATCTCAACAGTTTGGGCTGAACGTGGCCCAGGCATGTGCAGGACGAACAAAAGAGGGTGGAAGGTGAGAGTAGAGAGAGATGGGGAAGGGTGCAGGAGGCCTGCTTTTGCCCCAGCACCCTCACCCAAGTGTAGCAAACAACTTGGTCTTCACTGCCTCATGTGTCCAAAATGTGACATGAGGCCAGCCCTGCCACCACTTCTGTCCAACACCTGACCTTCTCTGACCCCAGCACTCATGACACCAGCCTGAAAACTTCACGGGGCTTCACAAATATCAACCAAGTCTTCCAGAAATGTTTAAGGGAAATAGTCTCACTGTAGAGCTAGGAAAACTGAGGAATACAGAGGCAGAGGGATCACATTCAGTGAAGTAAAAACAAGCTGTCTGATTTTTACCTCTTGTTTCATACCGCAAGTACAGAGCCAGTTCTTTTGTGCATGCAGAGACCAGCTAAGGAGCACCAAATTATGGCTTAAAATCACACAGCTTATAGAGCGGATATTGTGCCAATGCACACATTCAGTGATGCAGGCGGAAATCTTACTTAGGATCTTGGTGGGGAAAATTTACTGGGACTCGTCCAGTCAGGCTCTGCTCGGAGCAGATTGCCTTTCTTCACAGGCTGATCATGCACAGTCGGCACTCCAGTGCAAACATCACTCCCTAGCTCTGCTGTGTTTGGCCTCTGGTTTGTTTGACAGGTTATATGTGCTTCTGAATATGTCTTCTGATGCTCATTTTCATAGTGGTGTTAACATTTCTCTTGGCTGCTGTTTAAAAATTAGGTCCCTAAAGATATCATCCTTCAATAAGAAAATCCTCTTGCCAGAAGACCTGGCTCTAAGCATGTAGAACTTGACTGTCAGAGCTGCTGACCTCTACCATGAGCTTCAAGTCTACTGGCAGACCTGCACACTGACTCCCAGGTAAGCCGAGCAGCTAGCAGCAGAAGAATCCAAAATGGGTAGCTACTTTCTTTTTTTTTGTTGTCCGAGATGAATGTGCATTTCAAAAGCACCTGTCAAGCATAACTAGAGCTGTTTGGCTCTCATCTGGACAGTTGTACTTCCTGAATTATATGTTTCATTGCTTCAACAACCAACATACATACATACGTACATACATACATACATACATACACACACCTTTGTGTATGCATATGGAATTCACAACTGCAACTTTTTGAAAGAAGCCTGTTTTCTGTGTTTCCTGTGGTGCTGTGTTGAAATCCATGAAGCAGCGGCAGTAAATTGTAACTTAGAGTTGCAGTGCACTTCGGAAAGGCAAGAAGGATTTACATCTTTACACCCTCTACCTAACTTCACTGAGCGTGAATCAACAGGGTGCATAATCTGTGAAAGCTGTGAGTACAAGGCAGGGTCATCAGTCAGTCCACACTGACTAGAGCACCATGACATTTTCCCTTGCTGCCCTTCCAGACAGGTGAAATGTTAAAAGCAAGTACCAGACAAGTGATACTCTGAGCCCCCATGGAATGCAATCCAATACCCAAAGACTTTCAGGCCATACCAAAAAGCATAGTTTACAAGTGTTTTTATAAAAGAAATAACAAGGATGCATTTCTTTGCAGTGTGACAGTCTGTTATCCTCTGCCCAGAACCTTGCCAGTGTGGCTAGACACTATCCAATGGCAGCACTGATGGACTTTTCCTGCACAGTCTCCAGCCAGAAAAGGCAGGAAGGGAAAGAGTGAAGACAAGTCCACCCCAGCACCTGAAGTGGGCAGGAAAGCAGGGAAGAATCTACTATGCTTTATTCTGATGGTCCATGGAGCTGCACTTCCCAACATTTCTAGGAGAAAGTATGAGTCAGAAATCCTACGGGAACTCCTGCAGCAGCCCAGCTCCCTCCACAACCCACACATCCTCAACAGAGCACTGCGCAATCCAATCCATATGGTGTATCTGCACCGCAACGTGGGCCAGAGTGGGGTGCGGCCTTACGTTAGGCTCTCATATGATAAAAGTTTGGCACGTGAGCAATTATTTGTGCTTTAGCAGTTGACTGAGGAGCTTGGAAATCAGGGCACTTAGGGAAAAGCTGTGAATAAAGTGGAGGGACATAACAGCTCAACGTAAGACGGCTTTGCAGGGGGCTACTGGAGTGAAGGGAAGGCAGGAGTTGGCTGGTGCTCTTGTCTTGTTCAGAAAGAGATGCAGAGGTTCTGCCACCACCACAGAACAGTGCTGTTTATTATTTTGCTCAGTCAGTCCCCAGTACGGGTTATTAAAAAAAAATAAAATTCACCAAACCCTTAAGAGCATGTTTAGGGCTATCTTTAGTTAGCCAAGCAAATCTGTGGTCTGCTGCTGATCCAGTGGACACTAATACAGTGCTTCCATCTGAGACAGAAATTCCCTTTCAAAGGGGTACTTCCAAGAGCCATATCTTAAGAGCAGGCAGCTCTTGACACAGAAATCTGATGCAGGGCTCCTCTGAGCAGAATGAGTATCCTCAGGACACCAACACACACCTGATATCTCTCATTCATCCCACATCTAAACACAAGCAATGCCCAAGCAGGGGCTTAGTCAGTGTTAAACTCTGTGGCCCATCCCAAGGGTAATGTACTCACAGTGAACTCAGGAAAGAGGTACCTTTTCTCTCATCCTGCCAGACCTAGAGACTGTTATGTGGAAAAAAGATGGAAAGGTCTGTAGGGAGATAGACAGACTTACAGACAGTGCTCTGTCCTGCAAAGGAAACCCATGCTGGTAGGTCCCCCAATTCCCAGGTCGTTCTAGAGAGCAGAACCATGACAGGAAGGGATCTGCTGTGCAAAGTCAGGACCTCCGCGGTCTCAGCAACGGCAGGACAGCCACCCACCAAACCAGCCACAAGCACAGGGTTAACCAAAGGAAGCCGAAGCTCATTAGGATGAGCTCTGCTAAGTGCCTCCCTTAAATGCTTTATTTTCTACAGCAGATTTCCAACAGTAGGAGCTTTTACTCGCTCTGCTAGGCAGAGGCTGAACTGCTTTCTTCATACAGTTTCAAATTCGCCAGCCACGCTCGAAGAACCACCCCTTTTTGCCTTTCTCTTTTCTTTTTGCTCTCTCCAGGCTTTTTGTGAAAGAAACATCCAGTTTCAAGCCATTTAAAAAATATCAAAAAAACCCTGGTGGAAAATAATTTGCAGCTGTGATAATACCATTTTTTTTTAAATACCATAATATAGTTTTACTTTTAATAATAAAAGATAAAAAAAGGGGAGTCTGTGAATAATTAGAGAGTGCAGTCTGAAGCCAGTTACAGTCACTGCAATTGATAATAAACTTAAAGCCCCTTGACAGCAGGTAAATGCTTTGCAACCCTGACCCCCTTCCTCTCACATTACTTAACAACCCTGCAGTTCCAGCATTACATCACCATCCAAGCGATTGGTTCCTGCATTTTAACTCTCTCCCTGTCTCCTCCGATTAGGAGCAACACAGTGATGGGGGGAGGCGGTAGGGAACCAAACCACAACAAACTACCAAAACTTCTCTCAAGTTTGCTGTACTCCTTGTTTGGGTTTGGTTTGGTCAACAAAAACAGCTTCTGCTCCTAAGAGCTGAGGTAACACGCATCAGAAAACAAACTCTGTAGAAGTGGAAAAGAGTGGGAAAGGGGGACTTGGGAGGGGAGGAGGAGAGGAGGAGGAAGGCAAGGAGGGGGGGAAACTATATAGAAATCAGAAAGGAAAAGAAAATTAAAAACAAACCTCATGGACATCACTGAGCCTGAATTCCCTGCTGAGGTGCAGAACATGAGAGCCCTGGAATGAGTGTATGTAGAACTTGAGCCAAAGCTTAACTAGCCCGAGTGAGTCATATCCTTCCCATTTGATTCCCGTCCAAGCGATGATGTAATGCCCTGGCCCTCTCCCTCGCTCCCGCTCGCTGCACTACCTCCCTCCTCCCCTTTTCTCCTTTTTAGCTCAGTGCTGGTGAAGTCACCATTTAAATCTGGCAGCGCTGAAGCAAAAACTTCAATGTAACCAAAACAGCCCCAGGCCAAGTTCCAGACGTACTGAGACTCGGTGGTGCAATTGCCATTGGAAACGGGTAAACAGAGAAAGAAACAGTGCTGCCTCTGAAGGGCCTGCGCAGCTGCCTATCGGAGCGCAGGAAAACCCAGGGACCAGGAACGGGGATGACATGATTGACTGGGGAGCATCAGAAGATACCGAGTCGCTCCCGAACACCCGCATGGTCTGTGCTTCAGGAAGGTCCGGCCATTGGAAAAGGAGGAGATGGAGCAGGAGATGAGGAGGGCAACGGAGAAGCTGTGAAGCGGACGCAGCGCGTGTGTGTGGGTCTGGGAAGAAGGAAGTGCTTTGCAGGTTGTGCCGTAGATTGGGATTTCTCTGCCTCAGCAGTGCGTGGCTGGAATTGAGCCCCATGTTTTTGAAGGAAAACGACAGGGCTGTTTCTTGCTTTGTATTCTTCTGTATGCCAACACACAGGTGCAAAGCACCTTCTTTCTCCACGACTTAAAAAGTATCAGAAAAGCCCCAAACTGTACAGCACTACAAGGTTATAACTAACTCACTGCTGTGCTGCTGCTATTGCCTTTCTGGTGTTTCTCTGCCAAGTCTGATATTAGTGATTTTTTTTTTAAGGATAGAGAATGTTTCTAAATGGAACTTACTATAACCTTTCACGTGTGCAAGCAAAAGCTATTGTGGTGCGAAGCGCTCTGTTGCATCGCAGTGTGGTTCTGAGTCCTCCTGATGTTAAATGCTAGTGACCATGGCTGAAAAAGCTCTCGTGTCCTCCCCCACAGAGGGCTTTTTTCCTGTTCATCACTCACAATTAATTGTAGTCAACACAGTACCAAGCAGCTGGTCCACAAAAGAATGCAAAGCCTAAATAGTAGCAGTAGTAATAATAATAAACAAAAATGTCTAAGTACACATAGCATCCCTGAGCAATTCCAAGACTAATAGTTTCAACATCAAACTGCAGATGTAAGTATTTTTGGCACCTATAACACCAGACAGGTGTTTAAAAATTAATCCTTTCTTTATAGATCAGGAACTATTTCACAAAGACACTTCACCCCGTGCCTCAGAGTGAAACTCAGTTTTCCAACACTTAGTGGATGCACTTATGCCACTAAAATTCAGAAAACAGTAGGAAAACAGCAAAGTCAATATGTTTTCTTCTTTATGATGATGTGAGTTTATGGAAAAGCAATTTCTATTGCCTAGCACCATTTTACCACACTGGGGTTTTTTGGGGTGGGTTCATTAATTGATCACAGCAGCAATGCAACAGAGACTATTGTAAAGTATCGAAGTCTCCTCTGAGCATACTCTTATGGTTATAAATTATCTTTATATTTCTATGGATTGACACCATTAGCTTCTGTCATGGTTTAGTCTTGTATTCAAGTAGTCATGAATTCAAGTGATATTTTATTTAAGTTATATTTATTTTTACAGACAGAATAAAAGGAGGAGTAAACCAAGAGTTTATCCTATTCAGTTAAAAAAACCCACAGTTCTCTGCAGCAGCCTGACCTGCTGGATGACATCCTCAATTGATATTGATGCTGCAGCCACTCAGAGTGACACCTTTATCAAGCAAGGCAGCTCTGAATTAGAGGTGATCAGCCATAATTATTACTGGCGCCACTGAAGCCTGTGGCTTGACAGCATCAGATGTGGTTGTTATAAAGTTTGGTCCATTGTGTCAATGGCCTGTATAACTCATTTATGTCTGAATTACCAGCTATTGATTTTTTGTCTTCTGTCATGTAATAAAATAAAAGTTAGATCATTCCTAAAGCCCTCTTTTAATTCCAGCCTTGCTGATAGTTTCATTTTAAGATCAGCCCACTTCTCCCTCTCCATTTAAAAAAATGAGACTTCTAGCCCTTTTTCTGTGCATGTCTAAGAAGTCATCCTCCCTCCTTCCTTCTTTTTATTTTGTCTTCTTACATTTACACTGCTGGATTACATTGCTTCTGCTCATCCAGTTATGCCACTGACATTGCTATAGATGTTGTCATGGGCCCAGGACAGATCCCGGGCTCAGAACAGGGGAATGTGGCTACAACTGAGGCACAACTTTAAATTCTCAGGCCCAGCTTTGGAAGGAAGGAAGCTGCCACCAAAAGGAAAAAGGATTGCCCTGAGGAACCCAAGTTATCATGGGACCGTTTATGTAAATACATCCATTCCTGCAGCCATTCCTGCAGTTTTCTCACTCTTCTGAAAACCCTAACTTCCACCACTGCAGGTATTCAGAGCAAAATGCAAACAAAGAGATGACACAGGAGCTGCAATGTAGTTCCTTGTCCTCCTGAGGCTTCAACCATTTGCCTGGCAACTGTGCTCTTTCCAAAAGAAAATTGTGTTCGCCAGAAGCAATAATAGATCCATTGCCCATCTGCAAGTGTCTTAACCAAAATAGCACAGGAGAGACTGCATGTGTATGGTAAATGACCCTTTTTATTATTATTATCTTCATAGATACAAACTCAGAAGAATTAAGCTGCTTTCAAAAGTGTTCATCTTACAGAAGATATTTCCAGGAGTAAGAGCATTTTCTGAAGTGAATAAGAAAGGTCAAAGCAGTCTGAACTGCTGATCATTTCCAAATTACATGCTTAGACTGAAGTCCTGTTTCAAGAAGGAAACTGCTTTAAAACAGAGCTCATGAACCAAAGGAGTTAAAAACTTATTTGTGCTTGCTGGTGGGAAAACAAAAAGTTCTTTCCAGGCAGGTATTTCCAAGGTCTATTGATTGATTTTTTTCTTCCCCCTAACAGGAAACACAGTTTTCCCATTTTCCTTCCTGTGACAGACCAGTTAATGATAAAGAATGTCCTGTGCTCAGAGGAAATTCCACTTGCATGCAAGAGCTCCCTCTTTATCTGTTTACTTGTCTGTCTTTTCATTCTCCCCCCACTCCAACCCCAGCCTTAAACTTCTGTGTTCAGCCACGCTCAAGAATAGAGCTGTTGTGATGAGAG